CTGGTAGATCCTTTTCTTGTAGTTCTATTGCCTTTTCAACAGCCTTTCCCGCAGTGTTCTCGAGACATTTCAAATTTTTTGTAATGATATAGGAAAGAGAACTTTCTTTTCCTGATTCGTTTACACTCATATTTCTTTTTTTCGGTTGAACTTTCAGGCTTTGTTATAAGATAATGTGAATAAGAATTATTCTTCGCTTCTTTCTTTGAATAAGACTTACTCGTTTCTTTCTTGATCAAATCTTTGGGTCGCTTCTTTCTTAATCCAATCTTAGGTCGATGGTTCGAATCGGGTTGGTTTTGTCGCCGATTATTTTCAGTCGTGACAAAAACTTGGTTTTGTCGCCGATTTTTTTTCAGTCGTGACAAAAACTGAGGGTTCTTTCTGCCTCTTTAGTTGATAGTCCCTCAAACTTGGGTAATTAAACCTTTTATTACGATAAATTTATTAATACAACAACGAACTTGCAAATATGACATTGATACAACAAATTAATAACGAATGCACAAGAACAAAAAGGACAAATCACGCCCGATACCTTACATCTAACCGACCTCAATGAAACACAATTGAAAAAATGGATTAGTGCCCAGGACCCTCCGCTTCTTCGACTGGGAGGGTCCTTGTACCGTTTTATGATTACAAGAATTAGCACCCTTATGGAGCACCCATTGGTGTTGGGTTCTTTATTAGAGCAAAGTAAGACGATATGAGCATATAAAACAAAAATGGCTTTCAAAAAAAGGGGATTATTGTCCCTTTGTTTCTATTTGCGATATCAGCCACAGGGGCCATTCGCTCTCGGAACTCGTTAACCACGATGGTCCTTCCCACCATAGCTTGTATTGTCTAAGCTTTATGGGAAAAAGTTCTTTAGTTGCAATATCGACTGGATTATCTTCAATTGGTACATGTCGAAATAAGTTTACCTTTCGTATTCCTTCTGCTCGGTTTTGTATGAATTTTGGTACTAATTTCGATCGATTCTGTATCCATTGTAACGCGCATTTCGAATTCGACCATGAGACCACTGGGATTTTTTCCACACTCAATTGCTTTATAACAAAGTTGTTTGTTGGCGGCTCGTACACCAGTAAGTATTGCTAGCAGTTCCAGCCGTGGTATGATCATACCTTTAATTGGAGCGAGTCTTGATTTGGCGGAAAGTATTGCGCTATTTCTTTCATCGACATGTTTGTTTAAAATGTGTACAGCTGCTGAATACGCAACAACTGCTGAATTGATGCGTTCGTTAAGACATGAAATTGTTGATCTGAGAATTTTTTTGTAGCCAGCCTCGGTATCTCGATAATGTTTGCAGGCCATTCCTTTGTAAGAGATCGCCATACTTCTTTATTATCATCGAAGATTTGATCCCAAGAATTATTTCCTTTCCACAAGTTTTGGAGAAATAGTTTAAACTGGATCATTGTAGGGACTAAAAATCCCAAAGGGTCATATTTCTAAGCAACGAATTGCAAGACTCTTCGTTTGGTGATTTCATGTTCGATCCATCGTTTCAGCGTTACTCTGATTGTATCTTTATCGTTTATCCAAGTGATGCCAAGAATTTTTGTTGCACCTCCTTCGATTCTGTCTTGTTTCGGTATTGTCTTATTGAAGTTTTGGTCATTGGATAGAAATTCGCGAATATTCTTCGCCACTTTCTTGAAGATATCCTTCACTTCGGGATATTTATTTATGGCTTCCCTTGTTCCATTTGCTGACAATATAACGTTATCCACATATTCTTCCTAATCTCTAGCGGTGTCTGGCTTCCGATCGTTTCTAGATATGATTTAGTGTTGCTGCTAGCAAAAACGGTGATGTTATTACTCCAAAAGGAACTCTTCTAAAACAGTAACATTTCAGGTTTTCCTTGGTAACCGCACATTTAATATCATTTACTCACAGGAATCTGGTACAGTTTCTATCAAATTGATGCAGTTCCAATTGTAAAAACGCCTTCTCGACGTCGGCTATGATTACATTTTTCATCATTCGAAAGCGCAATAGTATTCCTGCTAAATCTGGAAGCATGATAGATCCGCGATATAGGACTTCGTTTAAACTTTTTGTTCCCTTGAGATGCGCCGAAGCATCATGGACTATTCTGAGTTTTGTTATAGGTTTGTGCGGGGGTATTACCTCATGATGAGGTAGATAATGAATTATACCCTCTTGATCCATATCAGAATGAACTTCCTCAATTATGCCTGACTGCAGTTGACCCTGAATCGTTTCGTTGTATCGTCGAGGTATGTCTTCATTGTTCTGAAGTCTCCTGATCAAGGTTTTAAGACGCCCGAAGGACAGTCCATAATGGCTTTTTAGTTTATCCTTTGAGTCTTTCCAAGGCCAGCAAATTTGGTATCTCCCGTCTTGTTTCGTTATACTTTTCTTAAATTGCTCAAAGACTTTGCTCATCATTGTTTTCGTTCGGTTGGTCCTGGATACCCATCAGTTCTAACTTCCAAAAGTGATCGATGTCTTCGTGGCTCGTTGCGCTAGCCACCCATGATACGACCGAGTTTACTGATGCAACGCTTACTTTGCGAATACTATTTGTATGACCATTTCGGGCTAGCATTGGTCCCAGTTTCGTCCTGAGTAACAGGAATCCTGATTCCAATTCTTGTGCTCCATCTAGTTTAGTGAATTTAGAAAGTCTTGGGTGCCAATAAGTATTTAGGGCTGCTTCCAGTAGCCGTTTATTCCTTCTAAGTTTTTTCTTTCTATTACAGAACTGATATTTTTGTCGTCGACTGCGATTACTTCTAGTTTATTTGTAAGTACTCCTTTACGTTAACCTCGCGAGTTATGATTTCCGTCTTTCCGATTCTTGCACGAACCTCTGCTTTGGTTGAATTTCATTTCTTTGGTAATTTATTGCCAAATGAATCTCTCGTCTTCCGCCCCTCGAATGCGTAGCCTTTTTGCTAAATTAGTTGATATGAATATCAGCTGCGAGCCCAAATTAAATAATGCCAACGCTCTCGTTTGGAATTTCGGGATCTCTGAATTTGTGGCGCTAATTTTTCTACACAGAAGTAAAATCCTTTTACCTTCTGGTCGCATTTGCTCAGCTACTGTACTGTTCGTCACTGTTGGCTCCAACTTTTCTTCTCGCACTTTTTCTGGTCTAGTATCTTTGCGGTGGTTGGTACATAGTGCTGAATTATGTCTTCCTTTGCAATGAAAGCATAATTTCTTTAGTTTCCGGCAATCGTTTGCCATGTGGCCCTTTTGTAAGCAATTCAGGCACGCCTCGATTGTTTTCAAGTGTTCCATTCGTTGCTTTGCTGTCTGGTAGACTTGACATTCGTCATCCCAATGATCCTAGTTGCAAAATGAACAAGGCCTTCGTATTTTATTACTTTCAGGATATTTCCTTGAGTTTGTGATCCTTTTACTATCGTTTGGCTTGGGCTACTTGATTGTGGCCAAAGCAGACGTCCCTCCTCCAGTACTGCGTGAGTCGTGATTCGACTTCCACTCGGTTGATTTTCATTGGTACCCCCTGCTAGAGGCCTGGCTCCTCTGTACTTCCTCATTGCTTTGGACTAGTTCTTGTAGGAATTTTCGGCGTCTAGTAACCGACCAGAATTCCCAGTCCTTTTTATGTTGGTAAACTTTGTCCAATATCCAAACTGGCGATCTACTTTCGATAATAATTCCAATGCTGGAATGCTTCAAATACTCACCCATTGCTTCCAGTTGTCTTTATATTCTTTCCGTGGTCTTGACAGTTGTTTTCCACTCTCGATCGTGTCCTTTGATGGAGTATAACTCATTGTACAGCAGTTTTTTTATAGTAGATGAATTTCCAAATTTCTCGACCAAAACTTTTCCTATGACGTCGCAGTTTTCCGGAGCAATATCATAGCCCTTAACAGCTTGTGGAGTATTTCCTTTGAGGCAGGTGATCTGGTAATTTAATTTTTGAATATCGGGTATTTTTTGAAAATGCGCTGGCATCAAAACTACGCCAGAATTCTCTCCATAATTTCGGGCACCACTAAATGTTAGTAGTGGTAACTGTGTCAAATTTACTGTCTGCTGAAACATTTGAGAAGGCTCCTTTAGTTGGGATGGTTCGATATTTATCTTGCTTTGCTGTAGGCGCTGTACCAACATAGAGCTTTAGACGCCTTATTTTTTCTTCTGTCCTCCTCTTGAGTTCAAATTGCTGCTGCTTTTCATCCATCGATAAATGTTGAACGCGAAGCGTTAAGTTCATTGTTTTTACTTTGTCGAGAAGATTCCCCAACTTTTGCTTTGCCGGTTAAGCACTTTTGATTACAGTGTCCGACATTCCCGGTTCGTGGCACCAATTTTTGCTGCCGAGTTTTTCAATCTTAAACTTGGGTAATTAAGCCTTTATTCCTCAAACCTGGTAATACAGAAACGAATTCAACAATCACAATATGAATAAAACAAATTCAATGGCAATATCAATAGGAACAAAAGAGGAAACCATGGACCAAATACCACCCGATATCCTCTAACCCACCACCGACCTGTTGAAACGCATCTTTACAAAATGGTTTGGCGCTCAGGACCTTCTTTTTCCTGGAGTAGAGATATCCAAAAGTCTGAGGTCAGATCTATGATCACAATTAAAGGTTTAATAGAGCACATAGGCGCAATGGGCGCATATGCAATACAATGTAGCAGCAGTATATTCTCTTCTTCATAGCTTCAATTTCGCGTTATGACTTTCGGAATTTTTCGACAAATAGTGTTGATAAAAGTTGTCAAAGTTATTAAAAAGTTTGCCTTAGCATATTTGTTTTGTGGTATAAATGAT